TTTCGAGTCTTCTTTACGAAGATACTACTTGGAATCAGGATCAAATCTGCCATATCTGCTGCCAATATGAACCTTAAACAATATTATTATATATCCCAACCAACTTTTGTCATCTCCGGGGCAAATGGTAAAGCCAGACTTTAACCAAACTTACGAAAACAGAAACCACCCTACTAATATATCAACAAGAATACAATCATTTAAAAAACACATATGACACTTATAAATCAATATATACAGATGGATCCAATGATGGTGACGCAGTTGTCCTTGGATCCAGAACAACATCTCTGCGATTACCAGATAACAGCTCTATTTTCACTGCAGAAGCCAGTGTCATGTGGACTGCTGTAATATATATCCATAAACAGTCCAGATATAAACAAAATATACTATTTGCAGACCTTTTGTACCTTCAAGCTATTAAATTATTTCCACTTTTAATCGAAATCATTGAATTATGTAACGCTATTACTACTGACCTATACGACAGCCAAGTAGGAATTGCTGGTAACACAATGGCCGGTTCTGGTGCTAAGGCAGCACTCAACAGATCTGTGACACCACTTTTCATCCTATACTCTGATTACACAACCGTGATTAGGTCTTGAGTAGGACACTCAAGTGGGTATAAATAACGTACATGAAATTCAACCTAGTGTCGGTGATACCTACTTGGGCTGTCAGTCCAGATTTGAAGAAGTCCTCATGCGACGATGTCGTATTGGCCATAGCAGATATACACATGACTATTCGTTGAAAGGTGAAAATCCTCCGTTTTGCATCCCTTGTGATGAAAGAATCACAGTCAGGCATGTCTTGCTTGACTATTGATTTGTCCATTACAAAGGATCAATATTTCACAGTTTCATCCTAAAAGGATCTTTTTAATTTGGGTCCTCCCTTAATTCTTTGTTTTTAAGAAATAAAAGGATTTAATTCATAAATGTTAACCATGTATTGTCATTAATAATTTCATTTTAAATGTGGTCGAATGAATAAATAACTATGATTGTGAGTGGATATACCCTCAAAAGGGGTTGAAATTGTGTAAAATAATTGTCCTCCGGATAGGGTACATAAGACCACATTCAATGTATATGTTTATCATTGCCAGAAGTTTAATCGTAGGTTTTTTGTTATGTTAATGTTTGGCTAATTTGCTCAAAATTCTCCAACACTTTGAAGGTATGATGTAAATCGAGCTAGGGTCCATGCAGGTAGCAAAAGTGCTTTAAATCCGCATGGTCACTAGTGTGGTGCTCGACCCTCAGTTTCTGGTGAACCGCAGTCCGTTTGTATATTGTGTTGTTCTCCATAGTGACATATATTTATAACAGCATGCTAGTCCTAACTTAGTATCTGAGATACCCTAGCATTTTTACTGCCCATCGACGACAGGTTTTTCTGTTCGAATTTTATTGATCTTTAATTTATAAAGTGGTCTCGTCACGATATGGCTGAAATAGTGCCGATGTGACGCTGAATATTAACTCACTCACTCACTCTGAGTTGGTGTAATATGAAAACAGGTTTGAGTTGAGGTGTTTTACTTGACGTGTAACAACAGGATCAACGAAATACAACTGTCCTACGTTAGTAAAACTGTAATATTAACTGAGCTACTAAAATATCGTTAACACAAGCACTTCTCCTTCGATTAATTGCGTAGATCGATGCTCATGCTGTCGATCACTGGATTGTCTGGTCAAGACTCGATTATTTCCAGACCGAAGCCGTACAGCTGGAATATTGCTTAGTGCAGCGTTAAACAACAAACAAATAACCCTCGGTTATTTAGTTGTTACATATGGGGTGTATGCAGTGATCAACAAGCTAGAGTTATTAACAGCTGGGGTATGTGTGTGACGGAGATGATAAATAAGCAGTCACTCACTCACCCAGCAGCTGGGTATAATAACGATGGGTAAAGGCAGGCTGTCCGTGCCTGGGATCCCCGTGGGTAGTGGAGTGGGTACATCAGGTACCGCCCCACCCAGCCCCTTACTCTCCCGTTATACAGAATATATTTGTGCAAATAATTATGATCATCATATCAGTGAGAATATAGATATAAGTCCATGAATATTACGTGATATTCATTTGCCGGAAGATTAAGCTTACTGCGGGTCGTATAAGAAACAGTGTCGATAATTTCACAACAATAATTTCTATCCACTTCTCTGTTATAAAACATTTATTATTAATGTTTTCATTTGTTGAAATTTCATTTATTTGTATTAAAACAAAATTTCATAACCTCAATATTCGCACCTGTATGGGTCACGGTACATAGAACGGTGTTTTTACCGGTCTCTCGTTTCGATACACAGGAACAAACTGATGTAAATAAAAGTTGGATGTTCCCGCTGTATCTTCACCCCCTTGGTTCGCCGCATTTCCCCAGCACGTACAATCTGTCACCACGTCTCTCAGATACCACCCTGGCCGTCTTTGATTGGTAGATACCAAGTAAAGTCATCTATAAAACGTAATTGAAAAGGCGTACAGTTTATCCCTTGTCCTACTCCATCAAGGACAGATCGACATAGCTCTACTAATCTTAACACCTCGTGCTCAGGTACAAAATATAAGACACTCCTTTTAACGACAGTTTAATCATTGGCAACCTGAATTAATAGCAGCCATTTTGTGGAGCACATGTCAATACTATCAAAATTCTCTAAATTTCCCCTTTGTGTTGTGTATAAAGAGACTGGAAGCTCAAAATAACTATTGCCTTTTACTATTCCAGAGAAGAATACAACGAAAGTGATAAAAATAATTATAGCCCTTAATTAGCAATTTTGAAAGTATACGGGCGGAATTCTTACCAGAACTGAAGAATTTCTACTGAAGATATCTAATCTACATTCATCAAACACTTAGCTTTCCTCACTCGTATTCAAACATAACGGCTAGCGTCAGTATCACGTAATCAACACAGTCTAAATAGCCCATGGCAATATTTATAAACGCGCCTACCAGTGTTACTATAAACAATAGCCACCTGCTGCCTAGGGTCAGATGATATCGTATCCAGGGATGACCAGTGGATAGTCTTTAACAACATTATGTCACTGGCGGCCATATCAAACGGATATAGATGTAATTAAACATTTGTCTGCGGGAATGTATTTCACAGGTGAATAAAGTTGTCTATTTCATGTTTATTGCATGTTTCATGTTAGATACAATGTTCCCACATGTACATAACACAAAAATAACATTGAAACAAAACCACTCTTGGCGAAGTTGGATTTTCTTTCAAATGTATCACAATTATCATTTAAAAATGTATTTACGAAATTAACTATTTATTAAGAGTTGACATAATTCTGTTTCAGAGACGATATGTCCGGTTAGATAAACCCACTTCTTGAAGGGAACCCTCAAAATCTTTGCTGAGATTTGGATGAGGATAGCCTTTGAAGAACTGAGAAGGGATGGGGTATAAAATGGAATGATGGCGTTATAAGCTCTGGAGCCGTGAATTAGAGACCAGTTCTGTGATTACCAGATGTTGTTGACGTCGGCAGGTTGTTTTATGAGTTATGTTATCTCTTGTGTTTTTGAATATTAAATATATTTATGTACCCTTAAATAAATGTATTTACTTGTGATGACGATTGATGGTCGCCTGTACTACATTCTGTGCCAGTTCGGCAGAAGGAACACCCCTTATTAAACTCCACATGTATGGAGATATGATGCTTCGGCCGAGCAGTCTATAACAACACCGCTTATATCCAGACTTCACGTGCCAGGATGCCATTTTCCTCTTATTTCGTCCGTGTCCGGTTTGACCGCTGGAGCAAAACATTGGCGATTTGTTTCAAATAAAATCCCCCTCCGAATCAATACTCCCCATTACCGTGCCCTGTGACTGAACGGGGCTTGCTCGCGAGTTACCAGGAATCGAGGTTTCAATTTCGCTTGCCATTTTCAATCATTGTAGGACATTACGCCTGCTTGATATGCATAGGAGAGGTAGCGATTGCATGTTGATTTCACAGAAATGAGCAACTTGTAGTCAATTTCACATTGCGGTCAATCATATTGCATTTTTAGCTCTTTAGCCCTTTGCCTGACTATGAAATCGAGTTAATATCCTTGCCATGGTGAATACAAACTCATTACAGGTTAATATAAAGCGTCCTTGTTGGTTACTGTCGGCAGCCACGGGGTAATGTGATTGTCCCTATCAAAGACGGGGACACACGGTTCCATATTAAAATCTAATTCGGTCTGAAGAGAAAGAAACTAAATCATTTCGTTTGATTTTACTTAATACTTTCAATTTCATACCGCATTCTAACCCCCTCATAGCTTGGCCTGGAAGCATCTTTAAATGAAACATTATTCTTTTGTCGCGCATAACATCATTAATCTCTCAAGTAAAGTAGCTTATACATTTTAATAAGATCCAGAACAGTTAGATGTGGTTTGAAGCAAACGGGTATGTTGACTTACAATTAGCTCGGCGTTAGAATGAAGAGAGTTGAGTTAGTGGTTCGCGTGATGAGATTACATTAAAGCGGGCTAGGCCGTCTTTGGATGGTTTGGGTCTGATGTTATCGGGACTGGAGTCATACATCATACGGGCAGTGTCGTGGCGGTGATAGACGGAGAAATTATGTAGATTTCAGAATGAAATGTCTCACAGGAGAAATGCGCAACAGGGTAGATAACAGATGCAGGGTGAGATGATGACGGTGGAGACGTGGTGTACCAAGCTGTTTTAGCACTGGTGTCTACCTTAGTGTGTAGTTAGTTTGGAGTGCGCGATTCTTGTATTGGGCTTACTTTGTGGGACCTTACACACATACACACGCACGCACACGCACACACACACCTTATCTGTATATACATCCCAAATAAAGAGATATATACATGTACATACATGCACATACGAATACACATATATACATATGTATTTATTCGTGTCTATCCATCTGGAAAATGGATTCAACTTTCAATAAAAACAAACATATTATAGATTTAGAGTCCTTTGACTTTTACTGTTTTATCTTATATACAAATCGTAACAATATTTTAAACATTTCACAATAAAATAATTTACAAAACAATTAAAATGCTCTGTCTAAAGCATCATGTGTGAACAAAATTGGGTATTGTTCCTCTGTTAACACGACCTTCCCAGGACATGTTACCTGGACCTGTTCATAACAGCACTGGGTGATTCTGCAAGTAGCATCGTGGGTCACATGTTGAAGACGCACGTGCATTACGTCAGTGGTTACCATAGAAACACCTTCATAATAAATATAGCACATTCGGAATATCGTAAAGAATGGCGATCAGTTCGAATACACCGAGCCATGCATGGGGTTAAAAAGTCCGAACGGCGAGACAACACTCTGCCCGCCCATGCTGGAATAGTTTAACAGGGAACCATAGATGCTTGTGGAGGCGGGGATAGCGACCCCAAATACAGGAGGTAGCATTGGTTTACTGGCAAACCTCATCTTCTCCAGCTCTGCTTCCTGGAGTCTCTTAGCCTTAGCTCTGCGGTTCTGGAACCAGATCTTTACTTGAGTTTCGGTGAGGTTCAAAGACGCTGAAAATTCGGCTCGTTCTGCTATAGAGAGGTACTGTTTTTGTCGGAACTTCCTCTCTAGTGCGAGAAGTTGGGCTGTTGTGAATGGCGTCCTTGGTTTTCGGTTGGGCTTATGTTTCCTCAGTGTCATAACTTTTGGAGGCGTGATTGGAGTGTGTGATACATGCTCTGAAAATGAGAAAATACACATAAGTATATATGTCATTTTTATCAAATCATAAAATTCACCTTTTCATATTTAGAAAAATAAGTGCAGTTACATAAATGATATTTTAAATGAAAACACGTTTCATTATGAGAACTGTTTTCCGGTTCTGATGCTACTGTCTAAATTATAAACAAAATAGAATGATAATACCCAAGGAATGAACTAGATTTGAAATTAGAAAAGAATAATATGTTATACATTAAACATTCCCACAATCTTATATGTTAAAACGCTACAGTTACTCCAAAGATTAAATCAAACTTATTATTTAGACGGATTTATTTGTCCGTATTAATCTTTCATAGCATCAATCAGATTATAAGTAAGGACGGCTCAGGTTTATGTTTTGCTCTCTTCTTTTGTCTTTTATCTACGCTCCTCAAAAACCAAATACCGAGGCCGCAAGCAAGGCGCCCCCTGACGAAAACAATCAGAAATCACAAGGCGCAATAAAGAGAGAACGCCAAAGGTATTTAAGTAAATTAGTTGTGTGGCAGATGTTATCAATTTAAAGAAAATATAAAAAGACAAACAGGAAATTTACTGGAGAGAGGCAAATGATCTGTGTAGAGCATTGTTGGCAGAAACAGTTTCAAATAAAGATTTATAAAAATGTAGTGCATGATCTGTTTCCTGGTGAGGCGCCGTTGCTGATATTTTTTCTTGGCTATTTAGCTGTACAATATTATTTAATAATTATTGTACATAAGTTTGGATTTCATTTCGTACAATATCATTTTGTTTTAACTACTGATACTAATATCAAAGGAATATATATATGCATTTTGGTTGACCGGATGACAGATAATGCAAGATAAATAATTAATGTATTGGCAGCAGAAACATTAATCAACGTACAAACAAGTTCACAAAGTACAGGTAAGAAATCGCACTTCTCATATTTTATGAAACACGCTCGTAGCAACTTAGTTAACAATAACGTTGATTCAAACAACTGGGATATAATTCGGGAGCTACTTTTTACAATAAAATGTGAACGTGAAAGCTTTCGATTTTGTTGTTACGTATATATAATACCTTGAATAAGGGTCATAATAGAATAAAGAAAATACGTTATAACGCCTAGGACGCTTTTCGTTTGTCAGAAGTGATAGTGGGAATTATTTACAGTTCTATAAAATATATTTTTAGGCTTAAAAAGAGGCTTCAAATTTCTTTGGACGACAAATATTTGAATTGTGTGTTTTTTCTGCAAATGTATAAGAACAAACATGAATATAAATGTACTTACTTGGCGTGAAAGTACCTGGTTTCAAGGGCCATGGCAGTTTGGTAACACATTCTGTGGCCCACACGGGGGAGATTGGGTTGGGGTGGCGGTCGGCTGTGGGGGATGTATTCTCCTTCGACGGGGTGGGTTCAGCACGGTTCAAAATACAGTCCATTCCAAATGGGTTGAGAGACTTGGGAGAAGTCTGAACTGTACTTGCCCGAACTGGCGTAACTTCCTCATCGCTACTCGAACTGTAATCGGACTTCTTCTCCACAGAAGAACGTATCAAAGATTCAACACCAAATGTCAATTTCACTGAAGCGTCCGACTTAGCGTTGTCAATTTCATATGAAATGTCTTTCACATCCGCGGGACTGGGAGTCTGTCGCTCGCATTCACTGTCTGACGATACATCTGCCATCATTAATTCTCACTGACCAGTCCAAATAAATTGACCACAATCGATGACAATTGCACACTTTTCTCCAAGTTGTCAACGTCTATTTTTCAACGAGTAATGTCCTTTAGTCTTCTCCCGTAGTGTTTATATCGCATGCCGCTCGAGCTCGGATATGACGTCACCGCGGGCCGCCGGTATCTGATTGGTCCACGCAAATGAATTGATAGCTGTAAATGGCGATCGCCAAACGAGTGCTGATTGCTTCTCAATGAATAGACTGACAGCAAGTGACGGGTGATAGGGCCGCGATTAATTAACAAACGAACACTGTCAGATACAGCGCGGATCGCTGACTCGCTTTGCTAATGACATTAACTGGAAACCTTTGAACAAAGTAAACCGCCAGTCCTCTTTAGACGGGCGCTAGCTCATCTATCATGCACCATTACAAATTAAAGTTTATGGAGGCCCAAGTCTCACTAGACGCTAAATGATTACACCTAATGACAGACAGGCGCCAGAAAGGGGTAGCAAAGGGGTATTCAGGGTGTTTTGATGGGAGACGAGTGGTACCCGGGATTCAATCACAGATATATTATTTCCAAAGGTACAATTAGAGTCAATATTTACAGTTTCGAGTGGAATTAGGGCTCGTAAAAAGCCGGCAAATTGCAATTATTCCGACCATAGTGTAAATGTAAATGTTAAATCTTTTACACTTGCACCTTTATAAATTAGTTGTTCTTGTTTTTCCGGTCAATTGAAATTCTTGAAACTGGAAATTTATCTGATAATTTGATAAGATGGTTTACCAGAGACCGAGTATGTACAAATTAAAACGACATTAAGACGGCTTGACAAGTTTATTGACATCTGTTCGCTATACACTTCCCCTCGTAGGATTCCAAAACACTGCTATTATGTTGTCGTTTGTGGTAATATATATTAGCATAATTGTTGAAAGTAAATAAAGATAAGATAAAGTTGACTTACCCAAGCCACTAAACGATGGGAAAATAAATATCTGCAATTTCAAAATAAGTATGAAGTATTTAACTGGCATCGCCTGTAAATGTCCATTCTGTATAATTTGTTTTGTACAAAACACATGAAAAGAATGAATACACACACCACTATAATTCTTTTTCTTTGTAAACACTCGAAATTTATATATGTATACAGCTTTATATCAAATGTTGTAAGGGGCAGATTTAAGAAGATTTGTTTGAGTAAATGTTAATAATTAGGTTATATTAATCAAAACAAAACGAATACTTCAAACATTATGTTTCTTTTTGAAAATAACGAACACAGAAATTTGGAATTTACAAAAGTACGTTTATGATGTTGCTTTTTTCATAGTCGATTCAGCGTTTTGTACAAACATCTTTGTCATATATGCACTATACAGCATTTTGTACAAACATCTCTGTCATATATTCACTATACAGCATTTTGTACAAACATCTCTGTCATATATTCGCATTTCGCGCACATGTGCACATTTTGTAACTCTTACAAGATTTCTATGCAACAATTCACATTGTAACTTTTTTGTTAATTTTAAATACAACGGTGTTGAGAGACAGATGCATTAACAGACAATTAGAGATGGGTAGAGTCTAATGATATTTTATAGCTGTAATTATTTTCAAATTATCACTTTGTAAATGTTTACAATTCTTCTCTTCCCTTTTTTCAAAGAAAAACTCGTACATGGCGGCTGTAAACCAGTTATAAAATCGGTTAAGGTAACGTCAGTTTAATGCGTTTACAACCACCGCCAGACCAGCTAAGTATTGTAAGTGTATTTATTGTTAAGCGAGGCGTAACTCTGAGTCTTGCTATTAAAAGAGACATGTTTTACGATCCCTAATTGTTTACACAACAATAATTTAAGGATTACAATGTTGTTAGCGGGTAATAATGAAAACACTAATCACTCGCCAACAAAGTGCTAACGCAATTGGATGGTCCCAAATCTGTTTATATAGATGAACAAAGAGACGCCCGTCTCCCCGCTCCCCTCTCATCCTGACCCCAGCCGCTCCTGCGCACAGTTGACGCTTCCGAATTCTCGGTCCCCGGGGGGTGAACCCGAGATAAAAGGAAGCGCTGATTTTATCATTGGGGTATAAAGGGGCAAAATTGATATTGTAATTAAACCGATCATGAATCTAATTAGAGATGTCTCGTCTATAATGATTCGGGATATTAGTTGTTTTTGGTAATCAGCGTCTCGCCTGTTACTGAAGAAACACGACCACACGGTCATGTTTATGTATCAGGGTTGTCTGAACATCAGCTGATTATAAACACTGAGTGTCGACTTGGATTCAAGCGGTGTGTTTGAAATTCAAATTAGGCTGATGGCTTATTCTGATGGAGAACTCAAGAATGTTTATTCAATAGTAACGATTAGATCGTTACGTGATTAAGTTCTTTAATAGTCTAGATACTGGTAAAACACAATTGTCTCCAACGAAATTATATTGTAACATTGATATTTACAAAAAATAAGATACAGAAACCTGAAAATAATTCAGAGTATGTCCACGTTTATTACGTTAACTGAGCATGACACGCAAAATAAAATGTGCGAGATTCACTTGTCTCTGTATAAAGAACATAACTCTCGCCCTCTCAGCGGAGTTAATCCCGCCGATAAATTTATAGTACAAACCACATGCTAACAAGAACTTTAATAAATTTATGAACAATGGCAACAAATCCAAAATGGGAGAAAAAGCCCTTTAGAGGCAGACAACGGCCCGCCAAACCGCCATTAGCGACCATGTTGTCCGGCCACGGGAAACTTGTCGGCATGGCTCATTTAAACCAATCGCTTGCTTTTCTGGGCAATTGCACATCGAGTGTCCCTGGAAATCACAAAGAAAACAGGTACAACAGAAGCCCGGAAATCTACAAGTTGATACAAGAAATGTACATGAAATTGACAACACCTCAGAGGTAATTGCCCCACCTAATGATGCTATGAATCATATTTGATAAGTAATCGACACAAAACATATATACACTTTTCAAAACACCAGAAGGAACATGTAAGGCACGTGGACACACTTACTGTTGTACATTGGCCAATACCACATATCAAGGATTTAAATCATTATTAAATACAGAATGCCACCTGTCCGCCATTATAACCAGAGAATTACGCCGACTTCTATTTCTATTAAGATCATCCGAACTCACACAAGAGTAAATACGGATAGGTGGGAACGAAAACCTCTTGAAGAAAGAATATGCTTAATGTGTGACCTACATGTACTACGAATATCATTTTCTTCTAGAATGTCCCGCCTACCATAACTCAAGAATATGACATTTGCAACTGTATTACCGTGCTCAAACCATTATCAGGAAATGTAACTCTACACTACTAACATCTCAAAATACTATCTTGCTCAACAACTGTGACAAATTGATTAAGGAATCACTGTGTAAAAGGATAGTGTTTCTGAATGACTAATTACTGAGTTAAAGTGAATTTCTTGTCATCTTGTTATTGTTATTCAATTAATGCAGGTTACTTTTGTACGTAGGCTGTTGGCCTTCATACCGAAATAAGCTCTTCATTGACCCATACTTGATATGCCACAAATACTTCAAGCAAAATATGATTACCTATTTGAACATTTATTCCACATCTACTAACCGGAGATCAAAGACAGCGGGCAGCCGACGTCAGTGACAACAACTGTAACGAAATGATACAACCCCCTTAACTAAACCCTCAATCCAAGACATATCCTGAACGTAACAGATTCCCGAAGGGCAAATGAACAATCTGATAACGAAATGAACCATGGGTCTGTTGCAATGGAGACTAGAGTGTGTGGAACCAAGAAGGCTGTAAATGAACCCGGTGTTATCTGTAAACCTGGTAAAATCCCACGGGGCAGATCTACACCCCGATTGCCAAATTGCCCATGTGAGTATTGCAAATGGCGCAATGATGGCTCTTTGAATCTGGATCTGGTCCCGTCTCCTGGGATCTCCATCCCCTCTAAGTACAACCTGTGGGGATTTAGGGATGAGCACCAATACCCCGATGGATTGACCGGATTAATTATTTTGTTTGGTAATTAGAATGATACCTTTTAATTAGAAGCCGGCGTCTTTGAGTGTAATTACCGAGCTGTGAACGTGACGCAATCCGTTTGAAATTTTGATGAGCTTAAATTGGCAGTGAAACCGTTTCAAGATTTCAGATCTGATTTGTGAAATCTGTTGCTGATGGTTATTTATCCCACGGCGAAGGTCGCCAGAGATAAACGTTGGATGGAATTATTCTCCTATTGACCAGGATGCTGTTGAATAGAGCGAACCAGGTAACGAGATATTCATGATGTTGCGCTACCACTTGGACTGAAGAGTTATAGACAGCGATTTTCATATCAAGTAAATCAACTACATTTGTATAGATTTTATGAAAGAAAAACTCGCGGCTATGTGTTTTATCGTTCTGAGAACACCTGTCACTATTCGCCCGCCTTTAAGCCGAATGTCGCTGTCAGTTAATTAGGCTCGACTTCCGACATATACACAATGTGCACAGACCAATCTTGGTGTCACCTCAGTTTATGGTGGTGCAGCAGGGTTATTCCCCCTCAGCCCCATCGCTCCACACACACAACGCACGCACACACAACGCACACATACACACAACAGACGCGACACAGTCCACATACACACACTACACAGAAACACAAACACGTAACGTGTCTGTTCTCTGTCTTATCTCTGGCTCTCTGACACATTTAACCAAATGTTCACGAATGCTTTCATTGCGTCAGTGGTGTATATAAAACACAACTCACAATGAACAGTAAATGTTTCCGGAATAGAAATGTCATAAATCACACCCTCCACCAACATGAGTTTCTGATTACCCGGCTACTCGACATGCTCGTGTGTAGTCTCCCACGGACACCTCGGCAGTCTCTCAACACACCCTTTCCCTTTAACCCCTAGTTGTAAGCATAACTTCCACGCCCCACATTCCACGTAACCATAAGTCAAGACCCCTTCCACCACAGACAACATGCATACTAGCTAGCAACCTTGTCGCATACCACATTCAAATTGAAATAAATCGATGCTAACTCGCTGCTACATATACCATAAGTCAAGACC